CTAGCTGGAAACATTTTGTTCCTGTACCCTTGCCTCCCCCCAAGTATCATACACAAAAAATACGCTATGTGCAAGCATAGGTTTGTTAGTTCACAAACACAAACATATCAAACACATTCTCAAACACAATGTAATTCACTGGAAGAGAAAATAAAAGGTGCTACAGGCATGCTGGAATGAGAGATCAGCCAGGGGAAAGATGGCGATGGAGAAGGGAAAGGCAAGTGCTGTGTGACACAAAGACCACGAGGCAGGACAGCAGGGGCCTAGAATGAGCGCGCTGGCCTCTCCAAAACATCCACAGCCAAGTCCTTCAAGCAGGGAGCACAGCAGCTGTAGCAACTGGATCTTTCCGTTTGTTCCTGAAAGGAATGCTTAAGCGACCAAATGTATCCCCTCAGAGAAGTAAAGGGGCTACCATGCTTAGTTCAGCAGAGAAACTAAAAAGAACTTCCAAAAATGTCAAGTTTACACTTAGAATGTCTTTTAGAAAATATTTTCATGGGCAGTATATAAAATATGATGCCATGCTTGAAGGGAAAAAACGTTATAATGGCGCTGTGGTTTTCATAAGTCTTCTTCCATACCAATCCTGAATATAAAACCAATACAGAAGCTTAGCATTAACATTCTGTCTATATAAGCTCAAATAATATTCTAAGTGGCATAAAGACTACCACTATGTCATAAAGACTATTTTTTTGAATTTTTCACCAAAAAAGAAAACATAAATTGGGCATAAATCTTCAGGCAGGATCAAATTACAGGCTAGTATGATTCTAGTTCCACTACTAAGTGACCTCAGTTTACCAGACACAAGGTAGGCACAAATGCTTCTAAACAGAAGATACGACAGATCTCCTCAAATGGGGTAAAGCTTTACAGAAAACCACAGATGCTGGGGGCCTCCACTGAAGATTTCCATTCAGTAGGTCAAGGGTGTAAAAAAGCATTTTTGATGAATAATCTTGCTTGAAAATCACTGATACAAAGGATTTTTTTTGGAGGGGGGTGGTCAGAGAATAAGTACTAACAGCTGGGGCTGCCAATTGCGACAACCAAAAATGTCTCCAGACGTTGCCAAATGTCCCCTGCGGAAATCACCTCTGATTGAGAACCATGGTCTTATGGTAATATGGTTAACTTATGACTGGCTCTTAGACAGCCACAAACATGAACAGTGAAGCAACACTACACACGGAAGCATCAGAGAAGAAAGCAGGTTCTTTGTGCTGAGAGGTTATAAGAACTCTCTTTCCTAAAGCCAGTAAGTTTTTAAAAAACACACCTTAATCATGATCACAGAAACGAAGACTTAAATTCTTGTCTATTTGCTGATTCTCAGAATCAGGTGACACACAGGGTGTGCTGGATGGGGCCCACCTGCCCTGGACCAGTCTACCTTCACCCTCCCCTGAACACTTCAGAGGAAGACACACAAACGCTTAAAAAATTAGAAGAGCAGGCTGAGAGTGGCAACTCACGCCTGTAGTTCCAGTACTTTGGGAGGCTGAGGCAGGCAGAGCACTTGAGCTCAACAGCTTGAGGCCAGTCTGGGCAACATGGAGAAACCTACCCTCGCCCCCCCCCCCCCCCCCCCCCCAAAAAAAAATGCTGGGTCTGGGATGGCATGCATCTATAGTTCCATTTACCCAGCAACATGGTGAAATCCCATCTCTACAAAACAAACAAAAATTGCCGGGCATCATGGCAGGCACCTATGACACTAGCTACTCAGGAGGCTGAGGTGGGAGGATCACCTGAGCCTGGGGAGCTCAAGGCTACAGGGAGCCACAGTTGTGCCACTGCACTCCAGCCTGGGTGACCAAGTGAGACCCTGGTCTCACAAAAAGGGCAGATATTTATTAATAATTTTTTAGAAAACAGAGACAAATGAAGTAATTTTCTGCCATTTAATTTTGATTGAAAAGCCAGGAACGACTTCCAATCCAAATATTTTTAAGGGACCTCATGATATTTTCAACTAAACCAGGGTATTACTCACCTTCAAAACATGCATTTCTTATTTAGATCAACAGTCAGAGATCTCTTTAGAGAACATGAAAAATCTAAATGTTTTCCTAGGCCTGGGAATACAATGTAAACATTTCACATGAGAACTGATAATATAAGCCAAAGATAACCTTTTGAAGTAATGTAGTGAGGTAACTATACGTATGGGGGTGGGTGGGTGGGTTGGCGTTGGGGGTGTGTGTGTGTGTGTGTGTGTGTGTACACACATACGAGATTGTGCTAAATGACTTGTACAACCCTAGTCATACCCACTACTAGGGACAACTGGTATTACACTGCTTTCAGGAAAAAAAAAAAAAAAAAAACAGAAATCTGAGGCTGATTCCAGATGCTGCTGCCTTCCATCATTATTCACCATAAAGCATTAGAAAGTGGAAACGGTACTCTGCAGGCCCTCTCATAAAGCAATCCTGTGGCATTACACCAGGACATCAGGCCTGCTGTATTACCAAAACAAAGCTCAGAAGTTACCGCTTAGGTAAAAGTTGGCTAAAACTAAGTGGGTAACCCAACTTAAGAACGCCAGGGAGTCCTCTTCATCTCCACCAGCTTCCTGTGGTTCAAGGCTGAGTGAAAGACTCAGAACGCCTATTTGTAAAGCACATCACTCATCTCTAAAGAGCAATGGGTAAGGCAATGAAGGGGTGATATTTTATTGTTCTCTATGCCCCAAGGAGCTCTGATGGGTTTAAAAAATAAGTCGGATCTGTATCTGTATCAAGAGCTATACTTTAATATCTTAACACTAGGAAATGGGTTTTATTCTTCTTTGTCTCTTCTCTCTTCACTACAGAACTTGCAATACCTTTCAAAAGATAGGCTATTTAACAGGCTCCAAAAGTCAAATGTCCTAAACCATAGTTTGTATGAAAAAAGGCACACCATCTTGTGAATGGTAAGGTATATAACGTAGGGGAAAGCCAAGAAGCCACCCCAAATTAATGGACAATAATTGACGAGAAATCAGAAATCATTCTTCAAAATTTTGGCATTTGGACTCTGATCCAAGAAGGAACAATTTTCATTGCAAACTCTGTTTATATAAATCTCATTTAGCTTCTAAGGGGACTCATGAAAAACAAAAACATAAAATTTATAGCAGATTGAAATGGAAAAATTAACTCTCACCTTTGAGGACAAGACTTTTACATGAATAGAAGATCAGGATTGGAATGGAAAGGAGATTTATGAAATTTCTGATCTTGAAAAGCCTCTAACAAATGTTTGCCATGAATTTTCTAGGACTTCTTATAAGAAATGAAATGTCACGCATAAGGAAAAAGGCTGAAGTAACACATAACAGAACAGAACAAGAACACACTATAGAATGCAGAGTATACAAGCAAAAGAGCCTAGAGAGACATGAAGAATGGATAATAAGCGCTGAGTTCCAACCTGTGGTGGCTGTGTGGTGCTGAACCGATATTCTCCTTGTTTGTCTCGATTGAACACAACTTTCCCAAGGACCATGTCAAGGAAGAAGTTCTGAGACATTCCAGTGAGTTAAGAATTAATAATGACTAAGTCATTTTTTTATTAATGTGCACATTTTTAAAAAATCACAATGCTACATAATTGATGAAAAACTAATTTTCATCATTTTCATATATAGAATTTCAGTTAATACCGCAAAAGGATCAAGAATGACAGGATTTTTGTAACAAATATAAATAAGTCATAAAATTATTGATAAAATGAGACTTCGAAATTTTCCACGAAATACAGCTTTTGTATAAATCCTCAAGTCTTTCCCCTATTCAAGTGATGCTTACATAATTTGAAGTCTTTCTTAACAATGGTTATTATCATTGAATATCTAGTATAAATTCTATATCCATATCTATAGATACATAATTTCATTAGCATCCAACACAAATCATTCTTTAGATAGTAAGAATAAGTAACATTTCTGTGAAAAGATGAACTTATACTGTAGAAAAAGGAACAATTTTTAGAATATAATATCTTACATGTGCTTTCTAGCACCCATAAAATAGAAAAAAAAAACACACACACACACACACACACACATTTCACTGGGCAACTTCGAAAGGCCAGTACCATAATATCCATGCTTCCATCATATCTCAAATATCAATACCAAGTCATCTTTTAGGGGGATAACTGAAATAAAGCATAATTTCTAAGTCCAGAGCTATTATCACTGAAATATATGGATATATATTTCTTAAAAAGTTACCTTTATTTTAATCAAAGAGCCTGTACTATGAAACTCTGAACTTAAAAATCACAACTGTGTCTCCCCCTTCCATTTCTAATAGTTACTATAAGAGTCAGTTATGATAGTAGTTCTGAGAGCAGACAAAAGCTTATTAATAAGCCATCAATGAGAACTTGTCAACTCCTTTTAGAGATGCTAACCTAAAGGCAATCCTAATGGGAAGGTAACTATACAATACACAATGAATCAAGGAGTCCTCCAGACCTCTAGAGGCCACTCAAAACCAAATACGAAGGACGAAGTTCCATAATCAATGCTGAAATTAGGTAAGTCCAGGAGGATTATTATTTTCTACTTTCAATAAATTATCTTGCTATGAATATTCACTATGTTTCCTGGAGAATGGCCCTACCTCTTCCTCCCTTAAATGGGAGATTTTGCTGTACATCACAAAACACAGACAGCACTGGCCAACTCTGATTTCACAATCACTGGTTCATCTGTTCATGGGCCACTTAGGCACCAAACTTCTTTCTACTCATCATTAATTTTTATTATCACACTGCTTATTTTCTCCTATGTGTATGACTGCAAGTAAGTCACACCCCTTAATATGACCATTATCAATTCACAGAAAAGTTCAGAAGAGAAGGCTAAATGAATTTGCCTAAGATGAGACTCTCTGGCTTTCCATGATATTACCTGTCCTCTTCTCCCATTTACCGGTAAACTACCCAAGAATCCCAAAGCAATATGGCAGACATGTGACTATAGAAGTGCTTACCTCCACTGTGACAGATACAAAGGCATTGACAAGAACAATGATGAGCATAGTTATACGCCACTGATATGGTACACACACTATCTGTAATGCAAAAAAACATTTAAAGTTAAAATTGCTGTAGGTAGTTCATATTATAGCATTATATCATAATTTCTAAATTTACTGAATTGCTATGATGTGCCAAATACCTTCATATACATTATCTACTTAATCCTCAACAATGCCCCAAGGTATATATTATATTTCCAATTATAAAACCGAAAGTTTAAGTAACTCAAGGTTAAAGAAAATATTAAATGACTGAGGTTAGAGTCAAATCCTATTCACTCAGATTCAAAAGTCCATGATCTACTAGCTCATGAATGTCTAACAACTTTCTATTTTTAAAATAAAAACCCCTCTTTAAACAATGAGGTACAAGCCAGGCACAGTGGCTCACGCCTGTAATCCCAACACCCTGGGAGGCAGAGGCAGGCAAATCACTCGAGGCTAGGAGTTTGAGACCAGCCTGGGCGACATGGCAAAACCCCAACTCTACAAAAAATACAAAAGTTAGCCAGGCAAGGTGGTTGTGTGACTATAAACCCAGCTACTCAGAAGGCTGAGACACGAGAATCACTTGAACCCGGGAAGCGGATGCTGGAGTGAGCTGAGATCCTGCCACTGTACTCCAGTGTGGATGACAGAGCAAGACTCTGACTTAAAAAAAAAAAAAAAAAAAAAAAGGAGGTACCAGTCTAATAATGAAGCACTGGTCAAAACTCAATTATAAAGACAAATTCATAAAAGAACTACACAGATGAAGTTAAGAAACAACAATCTAAGTGTTCACTTTTAAAGCTGATTAATTTCTAAGGCTTAAAAAGCAGGATAGTAGTAAAGACGGAAAGAAGTTTAGAATAAGAAAACTGAAAGAATCTAACAACTGTCTAGCTACTAAAAGAGGAGGAAAAGGCAAGGATGAATAGACAACACACACGCGCACGTACACACGCACACTTCCGACTTCAGTGGTACCAAGAAACAAAGAAGAAATAGCGCTGAAGGAGGACATGATGAGCTTAGTTTTTAAAATGTTGAAATTGAGGGATCTGTTGGGTGGAACAGATCCAAGTAATAGTCAATATATCAGTGTATATGCAGGTCTAAAGCTTAGTAATGAGTTAGGCTCAGGGTATAAAGTTTGGGAGCCTTTAACATTTAGATGGTGATGATTACAGGTGAAGCCATGACTTTAGGGGATATCACCAGAACGTACTGACAAGCCAGAGGGATAAGAACAGAAATAAAAGGGACTCTTAACATTTAAGCAATGGGCAGAGGGAGTGGAGCTACAATGGAAAATGAGATTGAAGAGTCACAGAGGTAAGAAAAGGCCAAAAGACAGCTAAGCATCACAAAACTTCAGAAGAGAGTATCTTAAGAATGATGACATAGGTAACTAGTCAAATAGTGCTGGGAGTAAAGGAAAACTGGAAAAAAATCAATTAAGGAGAAAAGGCCATTGGACTTAACCAGTAAGAGGCTGTTAATGGCCTTGCTAAGGGCAGTTTAAGTAGATTGGCAGGGAAGATGCCAGACTAGTTGATGAATGTATGGGAGGTGAGCTGAATGTGGTACTATTTCAAGAAAAAGTTGGTTGTGAAACAGAAGACATGTTTGGCCAGAGACAAATGTAAATGCATTTTGTTTTCTTCTTTCATTGTAAGTGCTAAATCCCTCAATAAAATATGTAGGAAACAGACATATACTGCTGGTAAGACTATAACCTGAAAACATCTTCAAAGTTCAATAATGCAGGATTTATGAAAATTAAAATTATAGATACCCTCAGACCAAGCAATTCTATTTTTGCATATTTAGCCTATAAATATTTGTCTGTAACTGAAGTGTGCAAGGATTTACAACACCATATTGTTTATAGTACCAAAACAATGGAACCAACCTAAATATCCAGCAAAACAGGACTAAACAAATTATGAAAAAGTCCATGCAATGGAATATTCATTTCACAAACTTTGTAATTTAGGTTAAATAACTCATATAACTTTAAAATCAAACCTGCCCATAACATACAAGAAAGGAAAATTAAATCTGATCTCATTCATGCAGAGGCAAAAATCCAAAACAAAAATTATAGCAACCAAAATCCAAAGGGTTTAATAGAGTGCATCATGACCAAATTGAATATATTCTAGAAATGCAAAATTAGTCCAATATTTGAATACTGATCAGCTATAATTCATCACATTCTTCAGGGAGAAAAACCGTGTGGTCATTTCAATAGCTGCATAAAAAACATTTAAGTTGGCCGGGCACGGTGGCTCACACCTGTAACCCCAGCACTTTGGGAGGCCAAGCAGGTGGATCACGAGGTCAAGAGATTGAGACCATCATGTTGAAACTTCACCTCTACTAAAAATACAGGCCAGGTGTGGTGGCTCACACCTGTAATCCCAGCACTTTGGGAGGCTGAGGCAGGCAGACCACCTGAGGTCAGGAGTTTGAGACCAGCTTGGCCAACATGGAGAAACCTGGTCTCTACTAAAAATACAAAAATTAACCAGGTGTCATGACACATGACTATAATCCCACCTATTTGGGAGGCCGAGGCAGAAGAATCACTTGAACTTGGGAAGCAGAGGTTGCAGTGAGCTGAAAAGTGAGACTCTGTCTCAAAACAATTTTTAAATTAATTTTAAAGTTTAAAAAAATTATCTAGGCATGGTGGCACATGCCTATAGTCCCAGCTAATCAGGAGGCTGAAGCAGGAGAATTGCTTGAACCCGGGAGGTTGCAGTGAGTCAGGACTGCTCCACTGCACTCCAGCCTGGGGTGACAGAGAGAGACTCCATCTCAAAAAAAAAAAGAAAAAGCATTAGACAAAATGTTAAAATCTTCTGTGTTAACAACACTGTACTACCAAGGAGCTTCCTTCACCTAATAAAGACATATACTAGAAATATACACCAAACAGTATATTTAATGGTGAAATATGGGGAATACTTTCTTTAGAGACAAGATTAAGACAGGGATATCACTATCACTGTACCCAATATATTAAGACATGAGAAACACAGAGAAAGCACATAAGGACTGTGAAATGTCAGAAATAAACAGCTTGTAATTACTTATATATGATGCCTGTCTACAGAGGGAAGGGGAGGGGAGGGGAGGGGCAAACTGATATAAGACAAAGGTATCACTGAGTATCAGTGGGAAAAGACAAACTTCAATAAGCAATTGCTGAAACAAATGGGTATTCATGAGAGAAAAAATGAAAAACTAATCCCTATTCAAAAGCTATATATAAAATTAACTCCAGATGGATTAAAGACTAAATGTGAAAGAAGAGCACCTTACAACTTTGAGGTGGACAAGTCTGCCAAACTGAGACACAAAGGAACAAATAAATAAACTATTAAATTTGACTTGTCAGATTATAATTTTTTTTTTCCTTTTTTTTTTTTTGAGATGGAGTCTTGCTCTGTCGTCCAGACTGGAGTGCAATGGCGCCATCTCGGTGCACTGCAACCTCCACCTCCTGGGTTTAAGCGATTCTCCTGCCTCAGCCTTCTGAGTTGCTGGGACTACAGGCACCCACCACCATGACCAGCTAATGTTTTTGTATTTTTAGTAGAGACAGGGGTTTCACCATGTTGGCAGGCTGGTCTCGAACTCCTGACCTCAGGTGATCCGCCCACCTTGGTCTCCCAGAGCGCTGGGATTACAGGCATGAGCAACTGTACCCAGCAAATTTGCTTTTTAAAAACAGATATTATAAACAAAGTAAAAAGACAAGCCACAAACTGGGAGAAGATATTTATCACTATACAATCAAATACAATACATTAGGAATTCTGAAAACTAAGTTTTAAAAAAGGCAACATCCTAATAGAAAAAACTGGCAAAAGGCATGAAGAGGCAGTTCACAGACAAAATAAAAATGGCCACTAAACAAATGAAAAATGCTTAATTCTATTAGCAAAATTAATTGGCAAATTAAAACCAACATGATATAACATTTTACACCCACTAGACAAGACCAAGTGTTGGCAATGATGTGAAACAACAGGCTGTCAAACACTGATGGAAGACGGAGGCAATCACTTTGGAACACAACTTGGCACAGTGCAGCTGAAGAGTACATGCTCACCATGACACTAGCATACACCAGAGGAACCTTTTGTCCCTAGTGGTTTGCCAAGGGTAGTAGTGGAAGGAGTACATTATCGCTGGAAGTATATGGAATTATCAGCACATGGCAGTATTTAAAAAGCAGATGGACTTCTAGTGAGCTTAATTACTGCTTTCAAATTCTCTACAGCATTGCACCACCCTCTCACTGCTTGCACCTGGGATAAACCACTCCTATTTCACTCTTTGATACACTATTACTTGCCCCCATACGCTAGAAGACATGTAAAAACATGTTCATATCAACAGTATGTTCAGTAATTATTTACCAACAAAGTATGGAGAAATGAATTTAATATATTCCTACAACTGTATACTACACAGAGTGAAAATAAAAGACATGTATCAACAAACAATGTTGATGGGAGAACGCAAGTCACAGAGAGAAGGGAACAAGATAACATCTTCATAAAGTTCAAGAGCACACAAAACTATCTTTTATGACTGCAAACATATACGGTAAGTATATCATGAAAACCGGGAATGAAGGGGAAAATCAACAAAATAGGTACACGAGAGTCCTTACTGACTCGTGATGCTACCCTTTTCTGTTTTCTGTTTGTCACTGACTCATGCTCAGGTTATGTTCATTTCTTTTAAGTTGGATGATACACTCAGGGTGTTATCTTTTTACTATTTTTAAATTATGGTTAACAACTTAAATATGTGTGCAGATTCTTTTGAATGAAAAACAACTATTTCATTACTCAGAAAGTTTTTAATGAAAAGAATGAAGAGCTAAATGGCCAAAACAGAAAAGGGAGCATGTGTAGACTACTGAAGAAACAGCCTGGTAAAGCAGAGAGAAGTAACAGATATCAGGATCAAGGCTTCTTTGTTTTTAAAGACCAAGGGACATTTAATTTGTTTGCAGACAATAAAATGGAACCAGAAGCGGAGATTAAACAGGTATAACCAATAAAAGCTGTTGTTTTAATTAGGTTCTTTATTCTTAGTAGAGTACCTTTGGGCTAATATAACTGCATCTTAGAATATATGAAAATAAGAGATCCTGGAAAAAAAGAAATGTATACAGGTTGGTCTTTTTTCCCAAACAAATGACGTGTTTAATTAAGCCTTACCTCAAGAACCTGGTCAACATAGGCAACTGGATACAACATGATGAATAATATAAAAGCATATAAAAAAATCACAGAAAAAACAAAAAAATCTGGAAAAGAAAGTAAAACAAATTAGGAAATTCCTTTATATAAAAAGGCATCCAATAACAACTGATATACTGTCATTTCTAAATCTGGTTTTGAATATTTTTACTTCAGTTGATGAAATAACGTATGTGCTCTGTTATTTCCTAGAGGATGAGATATTATTGTTCAGGGCACCCAAAAGATTCATATACATGATGTGATGGTATGGATATTTAAAGCCCATTAGCTTTAACCTTATAAAAGTACTACAAAAATTCAATTCACACCTTCATGGCCATCTGTATGTTGCCCAAATGGATAGCTACTTTGTAAGATAATAAAGCCAATATATAATGTACAAATAAGAGACTAGACTGTGTGTGGCAAAATGAGATTATCATTTAATACATGTATTCAATGACAATTACTATTGGTTGTAAAAATGCTGAATAACATTTATTTTCAGTAGTAGGTATGTCTTAATCCTAAACAGAGGCATTCTAACCTAAATGTAAATGTATTTCTGGTAAGTGAATCTCATAGATCTACTCTGCAAAAACATTTTCACAGAAAATGTTAGCCTAAAGCCAAGAGACTGGGTTGGTATACCATTTTTCAAAGTGGGCTGGCCTTATGGCTTGCTATGGGAGCTGGGAATGGCAAAGCCACCCAGCAGTACTTTGTCTCACTTTCCTAATGCAAAAACCAAACTCCTTGCTCATGGCCATTTTCTTAAGTGTGTACATGCACACATACACATGCATGTATATAAGCATATACTTGTATAATAATAAGCCATAAAAGTGGCTCAGAAATTTTCTAATTATATTGATAGCCCCAACTTTTCCCCTTTTTCCTTTGATCTGGACATTTATTCACAAGTTCCTATTTGAAGTCCACTTCAAACTCAAACTTTACTAAGACCACAGACAAAAACCTTATCATGAAGCCTTCAGGTTGGGTGAAGAAGTTACTATCCTTTTTACTGACTGTAAAGGAAGGGTCTCAGTGCTATTTTCAAACATGGAAGTTATTTGTAAATACAAACTTTGTTAGTATCAATTCAAACCTACAGGTAAATATTTTTCATTCTACAAAAACTATACTATATGTTTGTCATTTTTATGTTTACATACACCAGTGTGTAGAGGTATATATATATATATGTAGTTTTAGTAGCTTAGGCTGAAACTTATACTAACACTTATACCAAAGCTGGAGACACTATTTTACTATGAGACACTGACCAAAAGGATTTTTAAAAAACAGTCAGGTGTGGTGGCTCATGCCTGTAATCCCAGCACTTGGGGAGGCTGAGGTGGGCAGATCACAAGGTCAGGAGTTCGAGACCAACCTGGCCAACATGGTGAAACCTCCTCTATACTAAAAAAAAAAAATACAAAAATTAGCTGGACATGGTGGTGGGTGCCTGTAATCTCAGCTACTCAGAAGGCTAAGGCAGAAGAATCGCTTGAATCCAGGAGGCGGAGGCTGCAGTGAGCCGAGATCATGCCACTATACTCTAGCCTGAGCAACAAAGGGAGACTCCATCTCAAAAAAAAAACAAAGAAATAAAAAAAAAACACTTGGGACCCATGTTGGGTAAAAAGCAATTCTACTAAATTGTAAATATGAAATGCAACATTCGGTTTCACAAATGCAGCAACTAAAGTACTGTGTAAGTTCTATGGTTATTTAAGTAGTTACGGTCAGATAAGGAAAAAGTGTTTTACAAAGTGCTGGTTGGAAGTATACAAACACAACAAAGAGAAAATACAAAATCAGAAAAAGGAGAGAAGAAATGGTCAGAAGATAAATATCAGAGAGAAACATGGAGACTGACAAAGAATTTCAGGCCGGGTGTGGTGGCTCACACCTGTAATCCCAGCACTTTGGGAGGCCGAGGTGGGTGGATCATGAGGTCAAGAGATTGAGACCATCCTGGCCAACATGATGAAACCCCATTTTTACTAAAAATACAAAAATTAGCCGGGTGTGGTGGCAAGCGCCTGTGGTCCCAGCTACTGGGGAGGCTGATGTGAAAGAATCGCTTGAACCCAGGAGGCGGAAGTTGCAGTGAGCCGAGATTGCGCCACTGCACTCCAGCCTGGCAACAGAGCAAGACTCCGTCTCAAAAAAAAAAAAAAAGAAATTCAATAAAGTAATAACAACCCATATTGCACGCTTTTCAAATCTGACTGCATTTTTCAAACTACAGCAAAAGTAGATTTGCAATCTGGTTCTTGACGTGTGTTGTTGGGGGGAAAGAAATTACTCAAGCTCAGCAGCTTCTTTACATCTACCTAAACAATGTTAGTTTCTCAAACTTTTGTGTCTCTCCCAGAGCCACCTCAAAAAATCTGCCAGGATTTCCATGTGAAAGAGAAAATAAAGTAACTGAATCTATGTTTGTTTAGCCTGGAAAGAAAAAAAAGGCACTATTCAAAAAAGACACTATGTGACAAGGAGAAGGATGGCTGACAGAGATATAACCATACAAAATTTTAAAATCAATAAGGATTTCAATCACGCATTCACTTTAGAGAGGTATGAATTTCTTATAAACTATGCAGCCAGCTCCTAGATTCTCCTGCCATTGTAAGCAGTGGCTTAGTAACTGTGCTAAAGTATAAATATTCTTCACCAGAAGACAATAATCAAAAAAAAATTGTGTCATTGGTGATGGCAGGCCAGGGTCAAGAGTATTCCTCAGGTTTAGATTGTTTTAGATTGACTCTTCCATAAAGCTATGTGAATCTGAACAAGTCATTTAGAGTCAAATTATTTCATCTATAAAATGGGGTATGGTGAGAATCCTATAGGAAATAATAGATTTGTAAGTATTCAAAGGATATAGCGACATGTAAATTGAAGTCATTATTAAATATTTTTCAGCTTATGGCAACATATGATGTGCTGTTAATGATACCAGGTCCCACTGATGGACTATGGCATCAAAATAAGGTATCAGAAAGGATTTCCTTCCTATTCTCCTTAGTGACTCTGAAATAAAGTAGACATACATATAATATTCATCGCTAATTATTTATCTCTTTGTTCTTTTCCCAAACAATAACTAGGTCCTTCTAACCTCCAGCCAAAATCTTAAACCTTTTTATTCCTATCCTTCTCTTCTTATCCAGTTACATCTTTAAAAGGTCACCTTATTCTGTAGGGCCTCTGGGTATCTGAACTGCTTCAGCCAATTTACACATGTTAGATGAACAGGTAAAAGATACATAGGCCCTGAATAGGAAACATACTGGCAATTCAGTAGTAATGCCTTCATAGACAGAGAAAGGGATAGCACAAGCAATAAACTGGAGGGACGATCCAATAAGAAACTGCGTTAAAAATTGAAGCTGTTGACTGACAAGCCTAGGGTAATGTCAGACCAAAAATAAAAGGAAAAGAGAATTGAAGCCAAATCCCAAGAAATCACATCTAGTTAAAGGAGGGTGTTAAGAATTAAGTGCATATCATGACCCTTGAAATGAAAGGAGTTGAATGAGAAAACATAACTGTGAAGCTGCAGTTGAAAACAGGTAACCACACAGACTGTAGTCAAGTTTAATTTAGATTGAAAGTGAACCAGTACAAGGAAGGAAAAAGCTCTAAAGAGACTTCCTTAAGCGCCTAAGACAGATTAATTCTTAAAAATAATAATTTCAAAATACATTTAATACATTACACACCATTTATAGAGAACAACGACTGGCAGGTCCTAGGAAAGGAGTACTCATGGACTCCAAGGACAAATAGACAAGAGGTGAAAACTAGCAGAATGCCTGTGTCAGCTGTACGCTCCTTCTGTGCTTTTCAGAAGGCATGTTGTGTAACAGCATGTGCCTCTGTTTACCCACTGAGAGAAGTATACAAGCTGCTAATAGTAAAGACAATATGTATAATCTTAATACATTTTTAAAATCATCCAGTGGCCAAAAATAAAGTGTTTATTATTTATTCAAGTAAATTGGAAATTAAATGACAATACAAAGTTTCTTGAGCCTTTTTTTTTTTTTTAAAGTTTTCCAAACATATAGAAGATGCATTTTAGAAACAGGCAACTAATATTCTTCCTTTTTTTAGTTGTAACAGTGTGAATAGGGTAGATCTCTAAAATTAACTTTCTTGATAGAGCTGTCTTGGTTGCAGACCAGTCTGAATACCAGTTTTCTTCAAATTAAAAAAAAAAAAAAAAAAAAAAGCAATGTTTCTTCATAGATGTTTTTAGCTACTCTTAAATGTATTCAATATTTCCTTGAAATTTAAAAATGCTAAACTAAAAATAAAACCTATACCAACTCTAATTATTAAATTCACCTTATAAGTTATCTGTACTGATGAAATCGTTTTAGAAATACTGTGACAAACTTTCTGTGGGAAGTTTTTCATCCTGCAGCGTGGTTCTAATACAGTTCTTAGTAAAACAGCTCTTAGTACAGTTATACAGCAATATATTACTAATAAGTACATAATAATAGAGTTATTTTTAAAATAAGAAACATCAGTTCCAAAAAGAGGGCAAAAAAAAGGGGGAAAATTACCACTAAGATTAGATTTTAATCTTACCTGTCCAAAATATAAAGTAATAAAACTTGCCCTACAAACCAACAGGGTAGAAGTGACATAAGATACCGTATGAGAAAATGCCTCGTAAACGCTAATATGAGACCAAGACACTAATAGTTGTTACTCCTATGACATACCAATACCTGTGACCTGACATCTTGCCAACTAGAATACTGCCACCTTGTCATAACTACATAAAAAGAATAATTGCTATTTGCTCCCAAATACTGCAGACGTCTAAGTCTAAAAGTTGTTCCATATATTACTGCATTCTCAATTTTTTAAAATTGGCAATTTAGATGTAGCAACTGATTTTTTCCCATAAACTCTAATTCTGATCAATCAAAATGATATATTCTATTGCCACAGACAAGTCCACATGGCGCAGGCCTCCATTCAGTACACTGGC